TTTCCATTTTCCATCCCAGGCTTGTGACACCCCGCCACTGAGCCCAGAGTCAGGACCTGTTTGCAGCACAAAGCTACCTGTGCCTGAAGGAGGAAGCAGAAGGGCAAGTAGGAATTGTGAGGAAACCCATCAAGCAGCCTGGGGAGAGACAAACACCCCTCACCCATCACCACCCCCTCCCCTAGATCACATCTTGCCATCCAAATCTCACGGCCTGCTCCCCATATACCTACCTCTCTGGGTACCACTGACACCATGAAGTCCCCTTCCCTAACTGCCTCTTTCATCCCCGGTTCTGTCTGATCTCTGACGTCCCCAAAGCCACATTGACCTTCAAACACAACTTTTGCCTTCGCTGCTGAGAAGCCTTGAGCCATCTGTGAGCGTAGGTAACCAACACCGAGAGTTTTACTGGCACCTGAAAGCGATACGGAGTCAAAGCATGCAGCCCCCAGGGCTGGCATTCTCGTGCAGTGCGGGCTGGGGCTGTGCTGTTGTTACAGACAGGAACAAGTTGCGGTCACTTTTTAATCAGTTGCTTTATTGGATATAGATTGCAAGAAAGACACAGATTTTATCTCTGCCGTCTTTTTGCTTGTCTAGAACAAGCCTTTGACGTATGCAAAAGCTGTTTTGTTGCTGGCCTGGCACAAAAATCCTGAACCGGTTTCAGGGGCCAAAAAGGTGATTATAGTCTTTAAAGCAGAATTAGTTCTTAAACTGTTCCCAAAATATGCCTGACAAACTAACCCAAGCCAGACGAGTTGGCTGTGCTCACGGCAAAAAAAACTCAGTGCAGAGGAAACAGCCCTGCTTCGCTTTTCCAGAAGAATATCTGCATCTGAAAGAAAATAATTTATTGGGAAATATGTACAGTAGAGTAAAATTGCAAAATAAGACATTCATCGAGGATTCTGTATAAAACCGTGCCCTTTGCCTCCAGCAGGTAATGAATAAAAATGATATAAAGAAGCAATGAACATTCAATGTTTTATATTTAAAATACGTTTTGTGAGGAAAACAATGTGGCATAGAAACAGGACTGAAAGGTTCTCCAAGATAATGCCAGAAGCTGCAAGATGTTAGCAGCATTGTCGTATAAGTTTCAAGGTGTAGGTTTTTTAATTTTCTCTTATGAATCACAGAAGCAGTTGTGAAAGCTGTCATTAAAATTCATTACAAGAAAAGTAAACTTACATTAAAACCTACCCCATTCTTCTCCTAGTTCTTGATACTGGTTAGGAAGCAGCGTCTGCTTCTCTGCCAAAACCTTACCTACGCAATGTGATTTAATCTCTAGGCTCTGTTAAATTGGAGTTTTCATACATCACATCCTTCAATCCAGAGTACAAAAAAAAAAAAAAGAGATAAAAAATTGCAGCCTAGGTTTTCAAACCAGCAAGTTACAATTTTAAGAATCTTCATCTGCCATAATTTTTCTAGGAATGAAAACAGAATAAAAAATAGAGCAAATATGAAGAAACTAGTTTGTAAGTAAATAAACCAACCTTCCCTTCCTCCTTCTTTCCCTTTTCCCTTCCTCCTAGACATATATATGCACATACATTCATGCATATATACTTAGGTATTACTGCTTGCGATCTAAAAGCCAGTTTACTTTTTCCAACTTATTTCTAGCCATTCCCCCTCTCTGAAGGAGAGTCAGTAGTTACAGTGATGTATGCATGTGAGAAAAGTAAAAACAGTGTCCTCCTAGTTCGTGAGTGGATGGATGTACAGAACAACTGAGACTGAGCCACGCACAGCAAAGTGAGGAGGAAGTTTTCAGACAGAGCAGCGTTTTGACATGCGACACGTCGCTCCAACGCCTGCATCTCTGTAAGTGACAATTTGCAGAGGTGGGCTGAGTTTGCAGGGAAGTCCCTGCCCCGGCTGTGGAAAGGATTTGCCAGGGTTGCTGCAGTGGGTGAGAGCTCCCGGACAGGCACCGGGACCATGGCGCAGCGGCAGTGTGCTCACTGGCCTGGCCAGGATGGGAAGGGCAGGTGGCACGTCTCGGGAGATTGAAACCAGAGCATAAGTTAGAGCAATTGTAAGGCTGCTCTAAGATTATGTTAAGCAGCCTGACAGCCTGCTGGTTATTTCAGCAAGCAGAGGAAATTGAAGGCACTCTTAGCATGTCCAGTTACCAGCTCTGCATTCAGACGCAACCAAATCAATCACAACTAATTCAGTTACGGGAGTGTTAGGTACAAGAAGGGTGTTTCTGGGTCTATTCACAGAGGCACATGCACACATCCTTTTTACCATGGAGAATGTCTCTCCTTGCTTCCCTCCTTCCTTGTTCCTCTCTCCCCTCCGTTGGAAGTAAGTCCTCCAGGCCAGTCATTTTTCTTTATATATAGCGAGGACAGTGAGGCCTCAGTCCAACGTGCATTTAACGCAGTCATGCTGCCCGTCTCCCCCTCCTGCCCCATCCCTCCCTCCTAGCACTTGGTCCCACCCCATCCCCCACGTCCTTTCTCCTTCCCCAGTTGGAGGGATTTTCATTGCTGTGAGAGGACAAAGGTAACTGAGCTGCTATTGAAAAAAAGACTGACTTTTTTTTTCCTCACTGGACTGTTTTTAACATGGATCACTTCCCAACTCAGTCCCCTAAACTGCTTTGATGGCACAACAGAGTGGATAGAGCAGTGATGGGAACAAGGCTGGGGGGTGAGGATAGGTTGGAGAGTGGTTAGACTGCTGTTGCTACAAAACAGAAAAGGAAAAGAAAAGCAAGAACGCTAAATCACAGCCAAAGTGCAATGTATTTAGGGGCTTGGATTTGAAAAGCCAAGCACCATCTTCTGCAACAGTTACATTCCTCTGCACGTTTACTTCTGGCCAAGTTTCCTGAGAGCAGAGGCAGAATTCACCAAGTTTGAATTCCTGAGGCTCTCGCCTGTGGATTTTCTTCTGTGTTTAGCATTAGGAAAAGAGGGGAAATCATGAGGCTTCACTTAGGTTGTGGCTTTTCCTCTTGCTGGGATGACTTATGTGTGGAGGCACCAGGGAGCCCTGGGACCCCTCTCCCGCTTGCAGACCGGGGTAACACACACGTCACCTCGATGGCCTGGGGACACAGAGTGCCGGGGGAGACAGTGTAGTCCTGGGCCCAGCTGTGCAGGGCACGCTGAGATTCGCACCTACTTGGGCTTCCTCGGCTCAGGATGGCTGCTGCCCAAAGATTCCTGCGTGAGGGGTGCAGGGGACAGCGAGGTGGGTGGTCACTGTCACGGCAGGGGCTCTATCATGGCGGTTTTCTGTAGGACTTTTTTGTTCCCCTGGCAGGGGCTGGCTCAGGGATGCCAGCAAATGATTCAAGTCACCGTGCAACATGGTTTGTATCAGTCACGGCTTTGGCCAGCAGCAGTGACATTTGGCCGATGCTCCTTGGGCCCCAGAGGCGAGCGAGGAGCCCGTCTGCCAGCTGAGCTTTGGGTCCTCCCTGGCCCCGCAGACTCTGGGAGAACAATGGGGGCCCTTGGCCCGGCACGGGCAGTGTTCGGGGCAGTGTTTCAAGGAGTGCGGCTTTTGTTTTGGCTGTTTGGTTACATGCCTTCTCTTGCATGTTTATGCTGAACAAGAGGCACTTGTTCTCTCACCGACTTCAATGAGGTTGAGTCCAGCTGGATTTGTGCTTTAGGTGTAGAGAGCCAACAATACACCCATCAGCTGCCCCATCCCAGGAGAGCCTGGGCGCAGCGCTGCCCTGGGCATGCGTGCTTGTCCCCGTGCTCCCAGGAGCAGGAGTGAAAACACACTTTGCAAACAGCCCTGCCGGAGCAGGGTTTGGGTACCGAGCCCACAGGGCAGCTCTCAGGGCCCTTTGCTTCAGGGAATGCTTTGATGCTTCATGTACCCAGGATGTTGAGGTTTATCCTCTAGCTGCCAAGTAACCTGTTTTAATTTGCGAAGCCTCTTTATTTTTAAGAAATCCTTTATTAATTTAAAAAAAAAAAAATGCTTCCAATCAGTTCACTCTGCTCCTTTCACCTCTATCTTGCCCTTCTCCCACACCTCCTGTAGCCAGAGCCTTGGCTCACAAGCCAGAACACTGAGAGGTGTGAAAACATAAAATAGGCCCAACAAACACCGAGCAGAGACAGGTGCATTGTGTGGGTCCCGGTGCAAGGCAGGAAGGTTCCAGGTACGGTGATTCAGCTGCAGGCAACCAAACGTGCAGTCCCCTGCCGCATCCGAGACGGTCTGTGCGCAGGGGAGGGTGGCGGGGCTGCCAGGGCTGCGCAGCGCGTCGGGCCAGCGCTGGCTGATGATTAAGCAGGGTGTGGGCTCAGTTTACTTTTACCCCTGCTGCGAGCCTTCTCAGGCTAAGATGTTTTAAGTTGTCCTTATCCTCAGATTAATAAATGCTGCGCTGTGGGAGTGTAAACACAGGAAAAGAAGCGGACAAAAAAAAACACCACCCAAAAAAAATCAGGCTGGTGCTGTGCAGTCAGGACATTTCTTTTCCTAACAGGATATGGGATCAGAGGAAAAAAATACGTATTATATAACGAGTGTCAGGGGGGCAGGGGGGGTCAGTAGACAAATTAAGCACGTTGTTGGCTGAGCTGGAGAGCTCGTGAAATGAGACAGTTCAGCAGCAAGTCCCTGCAGTGAGGTGTCCCCCGAGCCAGGGCTGCAGGCGGGTGAGGAGGCACCGCAGGCCCCGGCTGTGGTGCACGGCTGGCCTTGGTTCGGCACCCGCAGGGCCCACCAGCAGCAAAGGGGCGAGAGCAGCAGAGGAGGCTGGTCGGGTGAGGGTCCCGGACAGAGCTGCCTCCCCAGGGGCACAGGGCGAGCCTGCCTCACTGGCAGCTCCACCGCAGTGGGCGAGATGGCCACGAGCGAGCAGAGCTCCTGGCCAGCTTCCCTCAGCCTCAGGGGGAAACCCAGGTGGGACAGGCTGGCACGTCATGCCCCTCGGCCACTGTGGCTGGACAAGGAGGGCCTCCAGGCTCTCAGCCAGCTTCTGTGGAGGCAGGGGAAGCACCATGGTTGTGGCCATCCTCTTCCCCACTCATGTGTCCCAGCGACATGGTATCTCCTCCAAATGCAAACCTCCTCTTGGGGCGTGGCTGTTTTTCTCCACTCACAAAGGTTGGTCGTGGAGAGAGAACCCCTGGTGTGGGTGCATTTTCACTCCTGTCAGCTGGGGTCCCCTCTGGGGTCCCCTCTGTGCAGGCACAACACACACGGGACCGGCCCCCTGAGCCAGGGTCCGGCTGCCCTGTGCAGCCCCCCCCACACCAGAGGACAGGTGGGATCCAGGCCGTCGGGCTGCAGACAAAGCCAGGAAGCTGTTGCTGGTCAGGCATTTCAAGGGAGGGCATGATTTCCACAACAATAAACGCATCTGATTATTTGATGAGAGGGAAGATGAGGTCCCCAGGAGGAGGGCGTCACGCACAAAAGAGGAATAACTCATGCCCCCGCTGGCTGTGACAGGGCAGGAGGATGAGGGCAATGTCCTATTGAGGCTTTGATCAGCCGGGGTCAAGCACGCTGGCTGGTAACACGGCTGAAAACCAACTAGGAGAAGGAGGTTCTTGCCACAGCGTCATGTCTGGCCCCCTCCCAACCCTCCACACTGCAGCCCTTCACCCCCATTAGGGAGCAAGACGGGGGCCTCCCTGGGCAGGTCCTGCTCCCCGGCCACCGCTGGCTCCAGCAGGGCCCCATCCGCTCTGAGCCCTGCAGTGCCGGGCATCACAGTGGATCCCTCTACTGCCACTTACTCATCTGCATCTCCTGTGACAAGCTGGGGAAAGAGGCTCCTTGTATCCCCTTGTCACCCTTCTTGCCATGGCAGAAGTGGAGAGATGCTGAAGTGCTGGCAGCAGCAGGGAGTCAGGGAAGGGATGGCAGGGCAGAGGGGATCATTTTCCAATTCCACCCCTCCTGGGCACTTGCATAGTCTGGTCACAGTCACAGGCACTTGGGGGTTTTCCTGTCCCCTGGAGAGCCGAGCTGTCCCCCTTCACCTTCAGGGACTTGGCTGCATTTCAAGAGATGGTTCTCCTCAGTGGTGCCAGCAACTGGTGATCCTGTGTATAACTGATGGTCCTGGACGGAGGTTGGATAACGTGTTTAGCATATCTGTCTTACAGCGGTTCTGTGCCTTCGAAAGACAGGCAGCCCCAAAGCCTTGACACTGCAATAGCTTGACCTGTGTGAGTCCCTCCTGCAGAGAGCCCCAGGGCACAAAGGCACCATGCGTGTATAGAAAAGACTTGGAGATCTGAGCTGCACCCTTACTCTCCCTTGGACTGAGCTACAGTACGTGTAAAAGTAACTCATATTTGGCCCACAGAATTATAATACTTGGAAGCAAGAGCAAGCAGGAGACAACTTGGCACTTGGAGACTGGAGCTCTCCAAGATCTTTACAAACACAACACAATTAACCCTTGCAAGAGAGAGAAACCCTTCTTGTCTCCTGCGTGGAGGGGAGCACTGGCCGCATGCAGAAATCGCTGGCATTCTGAAGAGCAGGGTAAGGGCAGGGGGGAAGCAGCTGCTATTTCAAATACAGGTCTCTACTCAGAGTTGTATTGCATAGGTGCAGTATACAGATCAATATGTGGGCAAGCCCTGAGATTTTTGATTCCAGGTTACATCTAAGAGTTTATCTAATACCAAAAAAAAAGAAAGAATCTGCTTCTCCCTTCGATGCATGTGTGCTCTGTGAGGATTTCTGTGTAGCCACAGTGTGGAATAGGCTGGGGCAGTGGAAGTTTCTGCTGTGCATGCTTCATAGCCTCTCTCACTCCTCAAGCCCTTTCCAAGTTATTTGAGCAGCCAAGGCCACAAGGAAAGGTTTGCCACAGTCTGTTTGTCATCTCACACCCTCAGTAAATCATCCTAATATCATCTGGCTCAGAGCTCCTAGGCATCTCGACAACCTTGACAGAAAGTGTGGGTAATGGACTGGGAAATCCAGCGGAAGAGTTTTGGGGAACATGAGACCATAAGATATGACTCTTCCCTGATCTGCCTCGAGACCTTAGGTCTCTGCCTAAGAGTGCAGCTAGAAAGCAGCCCTTTAAATGGACATACTTCAGAGATATTGACTTACCAGTGGCCTGGGTACAATTCCCCATGAAACTTCAACCTGGGATATGCGTGTCGCTAAGAGACAAACAATACCATCTGCAGCCTGCCCCTTTGAGATGTCATCTCTGTTTATAGAAAAGAAGGGGGTGGCGAGCGTGTGTTAAAATGTATTACTTCCCGACATCATCTTTGAGGAGTCATATATTTCAGTGGGACTAGTCAGTCAAAAGTGTCTAATGGCACAACGGTCAGTGCTCCTTAGCTTCTTCCTCACAGTGGCTGCGGCAGAGGGACAGGGATGCTAAAAATAACATTTCTGTCCCAAAATATCTTGACTTATTCAAGGGTGTATGTGTAGGGGGAGCCCTAATATTTCACATGGCTGGTGCCCTGCGACCTGCGCATCCCTGGGGAAGCAGAGCTCTCTGGAGACCTGCAGGGAGAGCAGAGGAGTGAAACCATAAGCTCAGGGAACAGGGAAAATTTTGCAGAGCAAAAAGAGATGTTTGTGTCACCTTCCCATAACTACAGGCTCTGAGGTGATTACCAAAAGAATCAATAGGTTCAGCTTAAGCTAATGAAAAAAAAGGGGAAGAAAGATGCCCTTCCGAACGTGCACCCACATTCTCATTTACCTTGGGCAAAAAGCAAAATAAAACATGCCTAGATATGAGTTCTCTACCAGAAGCAGTATTTTATACCCACTCACAGAGGGTAAGTGACTTCATGTGGTATACAGCAGTGGGAATTCAGGCATGTAATGTAATAACAAGAAAGGATTTTTAGATTTGTCTCAGGAACCCTGCTAGTTCAGACATTATAGAAAAGAATCCCAAACTTTCATGTCCATCTGCATCTTAAAAAGAGTGAAATATGTCCCCAGTTTGAGCCTGGTTCTTTATTTTGAAAAATTGCTGCAGGAAACGTGGGCAAACAGCACCTCACACCTGAACTGCACATTACCATCCCTCAGCTCTTTACTAGTGTAATGAAATCCCACGGAGCAACTGCTTAATCAGCTTCTTTGCTTAGTAAACTTTTCACTAGTCATTTGCATGGGATGTGGCAGCGCAGGATCCAAGCCTGGATCAGGGCTTCCGAGCCAAACCAGAAGGCGAGTAATAAAGAAAAGTCTTCTAGTGCTGCCTCTGGGGGTGAAACGGCAACACAACACAGCAGACCAGGACAGGACATGAAAAATACAGTATGCGCTTAGAGCTGACAGCCATAATGTAATGTGACCCCAGGCACATTGGTATTTGATTAGCAAACCCGAAGGGATTGGGAAACAGCCCTGCTCTTAGGAGAAAGAAATCTTTCATATCCCCTATAGTCAAGCCCTCAGCTTTGTTTTATCTGGGAGATGGTATCTGAACGCTTTAGAAGAACAGGCTGTTCTACCAGAGCGCGTTAGTCCCTGCGTGCCCCTGTGCACAGGACTTTTCCCCGGGGGTGCTGGCTGAAGGAGAAGCGGCTTGTGGCGGTCCCAGAGGAGGTCTGTGGCAGACTCCACGGCAGTTTGTGAGCCTCCTGTGTGCCCACTGTGCAGGGCTGTGGCTGTCACACCACAGACAGGCAGAGCTTGCGAATTTGTGTGCGATGCTTTTAAGCTTGGTTATTGGGAGTTGGCCGGGGCGGGGGGGGGGGGGGGGGGGGGGGGGGCGCATCTTTTTATAT